GTATCGCTACAAATCAGAAAAGAAAAAAATCAAATCATCACACAGAGTATAACCACAAGAAGGAAATTTTAAAAAAAACAGAAAATAAAAAAGTTAAAATGAATAAAGATGTTGGGTATGGCCGACAGATAATAAATATACTAAAAAACCACAGAACAATTGGAAAAGTAAAAATATTTGTTGAAAAATAAAACAAAATATTGAAAGGCCACACCCTTCCTACAAATAAAATGATAAACTCATGGAATATTTTAGTTAAGTTACTGAACATCAACTCAGTTATTAAGAGAGAGAGAAAAAAAGTCTGTCCATCTGTCTGATGTCAGAATTATGGCAACACTCAAAGCCAGAAAATCTTGAAATAATCTCTACAATGTTCTGGGAGAAAGTAATAGGATCCTAGAATGTTAAAACTAGCCGAGTTATACGTCAAGTATAAAGGCAGCAAACATTTTAAAACATAAAAATACTCAGGAAATACAGCACCCATGAGCCCTTCTGAAAAGACAAACAAAACAAAAACTACTTGCTGCAAAAGTCCAGTCATTTAAGTAGACTATAAATTGAAAAACATTGGGATTTTTTTCAGTTTTGTTCAATGCTGCACACTCAGCTTCTGAACTGCTGTATAGCACTGAGTGGTGCTAAAAAATTTGCTTGGTGAATCCATACACCAAAAAATAACAACAACAAAATGCAAAAGCTACAGTAAAGAACTGGTGCTAATCAATGAAGCCTTTAAATTTAGATCTGCAATTAAATAACCATAGAAATTATTATAGAACAGAATATAGTACTAATTTTTATGATATTAAAAAAACAGCAAATTCAGATTCCTGACAAGATACTGACACAGGATCTTCTTCCCCTCCAAGTTACCCCAGTGAACTAAAAGTACTATGAATCCTAAAGAATAATGGCGAAAGGTATGAGAAACTCCAGATGTTATGCTGGAATATGTCCTGAGGGGGTGCTGAGTGCAATGTATGCAGGCCTGTGGCCTAAGAAACAGCCAGTGGGGCTATGAGGAGATAAATTTTTAAGAGAGCAGTTTGGGTTCAGCCTGTGCCTGTCATCTCCATCCTGGGGACACTCAATGCCTGCCACCTTACAATAGCGATTGGCAGCAGTGCTGTGCAGATAACATCAGGGCATCCCAGAAGCCCTGCTGGGGATGAGAGTCAAACACACACAGGGACCGACTAATCTCTGGCCCTGACTTCCCAACCACTCTTACTCACAACCTCCAAGGTTAATGTTGGTAGATTTCCATTTAGAGAAAGTATCTTCTTCCAGTGCTTTGTCCCCTGAGGGACTCAGTGTAAAGCTGCAATCTTTAAGGATATGAGGAGTGAAATGATTAACTGTGACTTTTTTTTGATGCCTGGGGCCCTCTGACAAATCGAAATAATCAACTACGATGATATAAAATAGTCCAAATATACAAAAGATGAAAAAGAATAAAATCCAACTAAACTATCCAATCCAACTATCAAGAGATATTATCAGAGTGAACAAAAAAACACCCAAAATCCAGCCACATATTTACAAAAGATATACCTAAAGTATAAGTATATAGTAAGGTGGAAACTAATGGAGAGAATGAGACTTATCAAGAAAATACTAGCCACAGGGCTGGCTGAGTGGCTCAGCTGGTTAAGAGCTCACTCAAGAGTGCGAGCTCTGAGCAGCAGCGGTTTGATTCCCGGCCCGAGCTGAGCTGCTGCTGAGCTGCCAACAGGTGGCAGGATGGCTCAGCTAAAAAAAAAAAATACTAGCCACAAAAAGATGTAGCTATATGAATGTGAGACCAAACAGATTTCAGACAAACATGACTTACTGAGGAGAGAGCCAACATGTATTGAAAAGAATCACCAAGGAGGTATAACAAACACTAATGTATAAGCCCAATGAAATAACCCCAAAAGATGTAAAATAGCACGTACTGAATTAGTAAGGTAGAGAAACTGACAAATCTAACACTGTGGTAACTGTAAGTATTAACAGGTCTCAATAAGCCAAAAACAAAAAAGCACAAAGACAGATAACTGGAACACAAAATGAGACTGATCTAACATATAGAATTCTGCATCCAACAATTAAAGAATACACATTTGTCTCAAGTCCACTTGGAGCCTTTACGAAAACTGATCAGGATTTAGGGAATAAAGCAAGCCTCAGCACATTTTAAAGTGTTCACAATCTTTGTAAAGGTGATATAGATGGCTGTAAAACACTACGGTAAGTCCCATCATAAAAGTGTTTACAAAGCATTTTAGTAAAGATTGAAAGATACTATCTGAAACAGATAAAACACACACAGAATTCATACCTAGAATATATAAAGAAACTTTAAGAAAAAAAGATCAACAACCCAGCAGAAAATGGGCTAACCACAAAAACAGGTACGTTTCACCCTCATTACACCAGAAAAAACTGTAAAAGAAAAGAAAAAAGAGAGTCAGAGAGAAAAAGTCAAGAACCATATGATTTCACTGATATGTGGTATATAAAGCTGAAAACAACAAAAGAACAAGAAAAACAAATGAAGACAAAACTCACAGACACAGACAAGAGTTTAGTGGTTACCAGAGGGTAAGGGGGGAGGGGGGTGGTAGATGAGGGTAAAGGGGGTCAAATATATGGTGATGGAAGGAGAACTGACTCTGGGTGGTGAACACACAATGTGATATATAGATGATGTATTACAGAATTATACACCTGAAATCTATGTAACTTTACTAACCATCATCGCCCCAATAAACTTTAATTAAAAAAAAAAAAGAGAGAGACAGAGAAAGAGAGAGGAGGAGGGCGGGAGATTATATAAGGAAATACTGTTCCAATGACTTGCACTGTGATTTTCTCTTACTAGCTCAAAACCTCCGGTAATTCAAATCTCTATTTGCTGTTACCTTCTTCAGTGACTGCTTCCTCGAACGACTTCCCCCACCACCAGGAGTTCGTGGTTTCTTCCATACACTCTCCCATCTCCTACACTTTCCTCTATTTGCCACATACTTAAATCTCCTATGTATGCTATGTATTTTTAATGAATTCCCATTGCCTAACACAGTCTCTCAGCTATAGTAGGTACTGAAATTTGAAGGAACAAAATGACAGCTCTTCTGCACAGAAACAGTATTTCCCCTCTTAATGCAAGAATAATGAAACTTTTAACTCAGAATCCACAAAGTCAAAAATCAGTAGAATTAAGACATCCTTGCTGTTTTTGACAAATTGTGTCTGTGCCTAATCTAACCTGAAAAATAAACTGCCCAAGCACTTCTTCTGTATCTTCTCTACATTCTTTGCCAAAAGCATCTGAGGAGAAGTTCAGATACCCTCGGCCCATTTGGCAGCCTGGCAAGAAGCAGACTTACAGTTAATTCAGAGTAGGGACAGGCTAATTCTAGTTGCTGAGCTAGAGTGGCAGGCTCCATCTTTTTATTAATAACCACGTCATGTCCTTAACTTCAAGAGTTGCATTACACAGTCACATATTCCTAGCTCCCCTTTCCCTATAATCACGTGAAGCCCTTCCCACAGGGAGGTCCAGTGTATCTATGCTCAACTTAAACATAACTCTTTACGGGATAACAAGAGCTCAGGGAGCTATGTGCTTTGCTAGTCTCTGCTCATATGTCATTCCCTATCAAGGTTTCTAGTTTACATGTATTCACAAAGCAGGTCCCCATGCCTCCTCTATACGTCATAACCCTAGATCTGTGAAGGGAAATTTACTTGCAGCCTTGCTGAGAATCATTCCTTTAGAACGATGGTGTGGTTACTTGATTAGTCTTCCCTCTATCAACCTTTGTAATGAGTTATACTGTGTGAACCTTACATGTTAGCGAAGGGATCTTCATAAGCTGAAAGAAGGCCCCTTTGATTCAGTCTGTGGCAACCCTACCCACTCCCACTGACATCGGTTCTAGCTGCTCCGCTAGGCTCTCTCTCCAACCATATTCCTATTACCAGGTAAACTACCACTCAGACTTCGCAGCACACACCTTCAACACTGTTCTGTTCCTGGGAAGCTTCCAGAAGCCACCTGTTCTTGAAACTGATATGGACCCTTTCCACAGACACCATCTCTCCCTCCTGCCTAGTCTTTGGACTAGGATATCCAAAGATAGTTCATTCACAATAGTCTATGAAATTCTTTTTCCTTCTTTCTTTTAAACCAAGGAGTTGGCAAACTTTTTCTTAAAGGGCCAGAGAGTAAAGGCTGTAGGCCTATGGGCCAGTCTCTGGGGTAACTACTCAACAATGTTGTTGTAATATGAAAACAGCCACAAACAATATGTAAACCAATGGGTGCGGCTATGTCCTAATAATGCTTTATTTATAAAAACTGACAGCCAACCCACAGACCAAAGTTTGCTAAGCCATGCTTTAAACTTTTATAACTTTGGTATTCATATATCAGTATCATTATAATTATCTTGAATTTGTAAGGGTTTACTGATATTGGTAGTGAAAATTAATCTCAATATATTTTATCAATTAAAGCTGAAATATAGACATAAATGTTTTAGAATATATGTCATAAGAGTTGTAAAAAAAATTCTCATTATTTGTTGGTTAACCAGACAATTTAACTGACCAAAACTCATGCATTAATAGCTGTAGTTAACTTAGGTATTACCTACTTATGAAAAGAGAAGTGATAACTTAAAATAATGATCAATATATAAATAACAATCAAACACAATCACGTATACAGAAGATTAAATATGATAAATCTAAAATCTACCACAGTGGAACTGCGGTACTTGACTTTTCTCCTTTTTGCCCGCATTTTTATAATTAACACTCAAATGAGAAAAAAGTTTCTTTAAAGCACACAATGAAAAGCCAAAAGTTTTTGATTGCTAAAATATTTAGTCTGGAAATAAAAATATTCAGGCTTAAAATTAAATTTAAGAAAAATTCAACAATTTTATCCTACACTCCTGTTTTAAAAAAATATTTACATCAATTAAAATTTAATTTACCTGTCGGTTCCTTTCATCCATTATACGTGTGATTTGTATTTTCTTCCGCCCCATTTTCAGTCACCTTTCCTTCCTTATATTGCAAATATTTAATTCAAAATTTAATTTTCTTCAATACCCTAATGCATCGTACACAGCTTCTATTATTTCAGCTTCTAGTCCAAGGGCTATGGGTGAAATTTTCGGTAAGATCTAAAAGAAAACATAAATTAGAAAATTTAAGTTCTATAAATTTGCAAATGATTAAAATGTTACAAAATTTTCAAACCTGCATATTAGCAGCATTATTAAGTGAAATTTCCTGTTATAGAAATAAGTAAATAAGTTGAAGCCTTGTTAAAATTCACCCCTAAAATATCTCTTGAATCTTTTCTGTGCCTCTAATTCTGGCTAAAAGTGTGCAATTACGACCTTTGAGTTTTTCTCAAAGCATATAATAATAACAATAATAGGAGCCAGCACTTACTGAGATTTTTCTGTTGGGTCATCAGAAAAGTCATGACATACCCGTATTTCCCCATGTATAAGACGCACCCTTTTTCAAAAAATTTTGTGTCTAAAAACTGGGTGCATCTTATACAGTGGTTGTAGTTTTGTTTTGTTTTACTTGCATTTCCCACTTTTTTCACGCTTGTTTTTGGGCTCATACAACCACTGTGTAAGACGCACCCAGTTTTTAGACCCCAAATTTTTCGAAAAAGGGTGCGTCTTATACATGGGGAAATACGGTATTTTTCTATGTTTTTCGTTGCAAAAATGCGTCATGACTTTTCCGACGACTCAATATGTGCCAAGCACTTTTCTAAGTACCTGATATGTTTTAACTCATTTAGACCTAACCACAATATTCCGAGTTAGTTATACTCATCATGTCATTTTATAAATCAGGTTACTGAGGCATAGAGATATTAAGTAATGTGTCCACAGTCACACAGTAAGGTGCAGAGCTTATAATATGAACTCAGGGAGTCTGGCTCTAAGAGCGTCTCCTCTTAAATATTATAGAATATCCTTAAAAGGTTCTGATGGCCCCCATGTCAAAAGATGGGCTAATAATCTGCATAGCCCCAATCTGCCTTTTCAAACTCTTCTTGCAAATTACTGTAGCCATCAGCAAATTTACTATTTATCAATCCACGAAGAAACTATATACTTCCATAACAATATGTACTTAAATCCTTTAGCTATTTAATGACCTCCTTATCAGTCAAGATTCATTTGGAATATAATTTCCCTGGTGAAGCCAAGACCAATTCCCCTTGGTAGAATAAATAACAGCACCTCACTTTGTGGGTCCATTTTCCTCTGGGTCTGTGAAACCTTCAAAAACAAGGATTTTCTACTTCATTTATCTCGATAATAAAATGACTGTCAATGACATAACTTGTCATGCTCTAAATGATAGTTGTGTGTCAAAAACCTAATGCTTTCAAAACTTACATGATATTTATGAAGGAATGGTGCACAGATGCTAAAACAGTTATAATAATAAATTCTCTGGGGAACTTTACTGAAATATTTTATTTATTTATTTATTTTTATTATTTTTTAAAGATTGTATTGGGGAATTGGGGGAGGGAAACAGCATTGGGGAATCAGGGAAGGGGAACAGACAAATTGCTGTCCTTTTGTTCTTCAGTCTAGTTGTGGAGGACGTCGCTTCACTGGCCCATGTTGGTATTATCGTTGCACTCTTCCCAGGTGAGGCAGTTGTTCGCCGGCCACTGAGCGGTGGCTCATGGCGGCTCATGGCAGCTCATGAAAGCTCACGTCCGCTGCTGGCCACTCACAGCAGCCCAGCTCCAGGTCAAGCTGTTGTTCACCATCTTAGCTATAGAGGGCGCAGCATCACTGGCCCTCATGTGGGATCCGAACTGGGGCCCTGCTGCTCAGAGCTGGCGTCCCAGGCCAAATCCTAACCAACGCGTCACCCAGCCAACCCTACTGAAGTATTTTAAATATTGTACATGTGTATCTAAAACTCTTCAGTTGTACTGTGCAAATCCAGTGTCTGATTAAATCTGGCATTTGCTCAAAAGCAATGAGCTTTTCCATTCTTATCACTACCATGGCATTTCTTACGTATCTTCCCTCATTCATTCTTTTATTTCTTCAGTCATACAAACATTAATTGATCATCTATTAACAACTAATAATCTATTCATCGATCACCTACTTGCAAAAAAATTACCTGCAAATACTGAACTAGGCACATAGGATAATATAGTCAGGAAAAAGAGGCAATGATTTCTGATCTCAGAATTCAGAGTCTAGTAGGGGAAAACAGACATTAATCAAACCATCTTATAAATGAGTTTGTGCAGTTCAAAATTTAAAAGTTCATTGATCTGACCTAAATTCATGACTCAGGGAAGGTCTGCCTGAGAACGTATCTCATACTCAAACCTGAGTATGAAGGTATATATACCAGGCAAAGAGAACACTGTGTACAAAAGCCGCATGACAACAGGAAGCAGAAACTTCTGAGGAATTGAAAGGTGGCTGGTCACTGGTGGGAACCAATCAAACAAGCAAGTGTCCTGCAGAATGCTTATTTTCTCAACAGTCAGCAACATAAACAACAGAAGTTGACTTACTCCAAACCATGTTCCCTAAGTGCTCACAATGCATCCAATTTCTATTATGAAAACTTACACTGGAGTAGGCAAGATAAATACTCATACATTTCACTGCAGAGATATTATGCTAACAACTGCCAAGATATATGCACTGCATTATCTTGAATAATCTGAAAAATCCTGAATCCTAGAACATATCTGAGCATTTTCCTTTTGGCAATGGTGGAGTAGTAGGTTGCTTCAAACCAAACTTCCTCTGAGAACAGCCAGAACAGCAAAACCAAAAGTAATCTGTTTAAAGCCACTGGAGAACTGCCAAAGACAGTGAGAATTTGTAGGGCTGAGATCTAGAAGAAACAGGGGAGACCAGGCTTTAGACTCATTTTCCCCCTAGAGTCATTTGTAGATTCTTAAATTATGGGCTGCCAAGAGATCTATGGGTAGTGGCACAAAAATTAGATTCAGGGCCTGCCAAGGAGCAATAGCCCCAGTAAACATACCAGGAATCTGGAGGGAGTCCAAAGGACTACACCCAGCTATAAAGGTAACCCAGAAATAGACCAGGCCACACAAAGATGGGATATAACTTCAAATAATCTCAATCCCTGCTTCAATTAAGGTAATCTGACCTACCTTCTGTCATTAAACTAGCTGCGTGCTAATATAATATTCTCAAAAGACTGTAGCAAAAGTAAATCTTATCAGCAAAATGGTGTCATCCAGAAAGTAAAATTATCTTATCATTCTAAAAAAAGAGAACAGTGAAGACCTGACTGAAAACCAAAATTTAAAAATGACAATAGAAACATACCCATAGTAGAATCCAAAAAGGACTGTAAAATGTAAGTGTATTCAAAGAATTAAAAAACAAAGAATTTTAGCAGACAATACTTAAAAATAGGAAAAACAGCACTGAAAAGTATAATTTTGAATACAGAAATTAAGAAATTGGTGGATGAGTCCAATAGGTTAAATACAGCTAAAGAAAGAATTACTGGCCCAAAATATAATAAAGAAAATACCTATACTGAAGCCCAAAAAGACATAAGAAAGGTAAACACAGAAAAGAGTGTGAAAAAGATTAGCAAACATGGAGCAAAGACTCAAGATACATGTAACTAAAATCCCAGAAAGGAAGGAGAGAATATATGGGGAAGAAAAGCTATTTGAAGATATAATAGTTAAAAAAATTCAGCAGCATATTCAAAGGATTATACACCATGACCAAGTGGGATTCATTTCTGGAATGCACAGACAATTCAACATACTAAAATTAATCAATGTGATACACCACATTAAGAGAATGAAAGGGAAAAAAACCCACATGATCATCTCAACTGACGTAGAAAACGGATTTGACAAAATACAATACCCTTTTATAATAAAAACAATTAACTGGGAATAGGAGGAAACCACCTCAACATAATAAAAATCATATAGAAAAATCCCACAGCTTACACCATAATCAATGGTCAAAGACTGATAGCTTTTCCTCTAAGATCAGAAACAAGACAAGGATGACTGATTTTACCACTTCTATTAAAAAATGTAATGGGAATTCCAGCCAAAGCAATTAAGCAAGAAAAAAAAAGGGCATACAAATTGGAAAGGAAGGAGTGTAATTATCTGTTTGTAGATGACATGATCTTATGGGTAGAATTCCTGGAGATTCCACAAAACACATTGTTAGAACCAATAAACAAATTCATCAATGTTACAAATCACACAAAAATCAGCTGCATTTCTATCACTAACAATGAAAAGTCTGAAATAAGAAAATTCCATTGACAATAGCATCAAAAATAATAAAGTACTCAGGAACTAACTTAATCAAAAAGGCGAAAGTCTTGTATACTGAAAAGTAAAAAAAATTTTGACAAATTAAAGACACAATAAACATCCCATGTTCATAGGCTGAAAGACTTGATGTTGTTAATGTGTCAGTGTTACCAAAAAGCAATCTACAAATTAAATGGAATCCCTATCAAAATCCCAGTGACATTTTTTGCAGAAATAATATCCACATGGAATCTCAAGTAACTCCAAATAGCCAAACCAATTTTGAAAAGGAAGAACAAAGTTGGAAAACTCATTAGTCCCTAATGGCAAAATTTTCTACAAAGTTACAGTAATCAAAATAGGGTGGGACTGGCATAAAGATAGACATACAGACCAAGAGAACAGGACAGAGAGCTCAGCAATAAATCAATCCACACATGGTCAAATGTGAAGAAGCTTCAAATGACACTATCAGCACAGTAAAATAGCAACCCAATTAATGGAGAAAATAAGTGGAGAGCAGATTATCTGATATGAGATTAACAGCCAGAGTATACTATATTTAAAAAACCTTAACACTTAACAACAAAATAAACCTCCCAATTTTCAAAATAGGCAGAGGACTTCAAAAGACATTTCTATAAAGAAGATATAGAAATGACCAATAAGCACCTGAAAAGATGTTCAACATCACAAATACAAATCAAAAAACTACAGTAAGATACGACTTCACTAGTTTGGATGGCTATTATCCAAATGTGGATGTGGAGAAATTGGAACCTTTGTGCACTGATTTGGAAATGTAAAATGATACACTTGCTGAGGAAAACAGTA